GAATTTTTATTAGATGAAGAATATTATCAGCCATTATTCTATATTTTTTCATCATAGTAATATTATCTTAGAATTTTAATTTTTATTAGATGAAGTTTTGTCAGCCATTATTAATAATTTTGAATAGTATTTTTTTTTTTTTCATTTTATTTGCAATTCATTGCATCTTTCAGACCAATTCTATATTCAAACAAGTAGTAATATTATCTTGAATTTTATTATTTGTCAGCCATTTTAATTTTTGATCTAGTATTTCTTTCATTTTCATTTTAGTTGCTTTTCATTGCATCTCCTCATTCAGTCTATGCCATCAGTTAGTAATATTATCTTGAATTTTTATTAGATAAGATATCATCTTGAATTTATTTGCTTTTATTGATGAAGTTTTCAGTCATGGCCATTTTAATTTTGTAAATCATGATTTTTATTAGATTGCTTTTTTAGTTGCATTTCATTTTCATTGCATCTACTCAGACCACCATTCTATATTCAATCATAGTAATATTATCTTGAATTTTTATTATTAGATGAAGCATTGTCAGCCATTATTAATTTTCAATCATATTTCTTTCATTTTAATTTCAGTTGCTTTTCATTGCATCTACTCAGACCTTCATTCTATATTCAAACAACAGTAATATTATTTTTGAATTTTATTATTAGATGAAGTGTTGTCAGCCATTATTAATTTTTCAATCATATTTCTTTCATTTTAATTTTACTTGCTTTTCATTGCATCTACTCAGACCACCATTCTATATTCAAAGGAGAGTAATATTATCTTGAATTTTATTATTAGATGAAGTTTGTCAGCCATTATTAATTTTTGATAGATGAATCATATTTCTTTCATTTTTTAATTTCAGTTGCTTTTCATTGCATCTCCTCAGACCATCATTCTATATTCAAACATAAACAAGTTAATCTTGAATTTTTTATTAGATGAAGTTTTTTTCAGCCATTATTAATTTTTCAATCATATTTCTTTCATTTTAATTTCAGTTGTGCATTTCATTTGCATCTTCACTCAGACCACCATTCTATATTTAAACATAGTAATATTATCTTGAATTTTATTATTAGATGAAGTGTTGTCAGCCATTATTAATTTTTGTTTTTTCAATCATATTTCTTTTCATTGCATCTTTAAAATTTTCAGTATATTATTAAAATGAATTTTTTATTAGATGAAGCATTGTCTCCAGACCAGTATTTCTTTCAATCAGGATTTTAGTAATATTATCTTGAATTTTATTAAACAAGATGAAGTGAATTTTTTTTTTGAATTATTAATGTTTCAATATATTTCTTTTTTCATTTTAATTTCAGTTGCATTTCATTGCATCTTCAGTCAATTTGCACCATTCTATATTCAATCATTTAATATTATCTTGAATTTTATTATTAGATATTAAATCTTTTTTAGCCATTAGTAATGTTTCAATCATAACAAGTTGTAATATTTTTTTTTTAATTTCAGTTATTTTTTTTTATTGTATTTTTTTTACTTCATTTTATACCATTCTATATTTAAACATAGGCCATATTATCTTGAATTTTATTATTAGATGAAGATGAAGCTGTCAGCCATTATTAATGTTTCAATCATATTTCTTTCATATTCATTTTAATTTCAGTTGCATTTCATTGCATCTAAACAAGTAGTAATCATTTTTATTATTGAAATTGTCAGGTTAGTAATATTATCTTTTTTAATTTTATTATTAGATCCTGTGACCTTCAGTTTGAATAAAATTATTAATATTTCAAATATTTCCATTAATTAATTTTAATTTCATTTCTTTTTCATTTTTTCATCTAGTCAGACCACCATTCTATATTCAAAATAGTAATATTATCTTGAATTTTTTAGTATTAGATGAAGTGTTGTCAGCCATTATTAATTTTTGTTTCAATCATTTTCTTTCATTTTAATTTTTTTTGCTTTTATCATTGCATCTAATCAACCATCCAAATTCAATCAAAGTAAAATTATCTTGAATTTTATTATTAGATGAAGTTTGTCAGCCATTATTAATTTTTCAATCATATTTTACTTTCATTTTATTGTATTTCAAAACTGTTGAAGTCATTGCATCTACTTTTTATTACAAACCATTCTATATTCAATCATAGTAATATTATCTTGAATTTTATTATTAGATGAAGTGTTGTCAAACAAATTAATTTTCAAATTTTATTTTTTCATTTTAATTTCACCTTTGCTTTTTTCATTGCATCTTCTCAGACCACATTTTCATATTCAATCATATAATATTATCTTGAATTTTATTTTATTATTTGAAGTTTTGTCATAGAATTATTAATGTTTCAATAATATTTCTTTCATTTTAATTTTATTTTCATTTCATTTTAAAAAATAAAATTCTAATTTAATCATAAACAAGTAATATTATCTTGAATTTTTATTATTGTCATGATGAAGTGTTTTCAGCCATTATTAATTTTTGAATCAGATTTCTTTCATTTTAAATTTTATTTGTTTTTCATTGTCTACTCAGACCATTTTTTTCTATATTCAAAAATGAATAGTAATATTATCAGAATGAATTTTATTAAACAGATGAAATGTTGTCAAATTATTAATCAAATTACTTTATTTCATTTCTTTCATTTTAATTTCAGTTGCTTTTCATTGCATCTACTCAGACCACCATTCTATATTCAATCATAAGTTTTATTATTATTATATTGTCAATTTTATTAATTTTTAGATGAAGTTTTTCAGCTGATTTTACTTAATGTTTCAATTTATTTCTTTCATTTTAATTTCAGTTGCAACAAGTATTGCATCTATAGACCACCATTCTATATTCAATCATTAGTAAATATTATCTTGAATTTTTTATTAGATGAAATTTTTTCAGACATTATTTAATGTTTAAATCATATTTTTATCTTTCATTTTAATTTCAGTTGCATTTCATTGCATCTATTTAGTACCAATTTTATATTTCAATGTAGTAGATAATATTTTCTTGAATATTATTTTAGATTTTTTATTAGATGAAGCTTGTCAACTGTTTTTAATAGTTTTTTTGTTTTCAATCATATTTACAGTCTATTTTAAACAAATTTCAGTTGCATTTCATATGCAATTTTAATAGTAAAAAATATCTTCCACTTCATTCTATATTTTGCATCATTCAAATATTATCAGTTTAAGTCTATTTTATTATTAGATGAAGTGTTGTCAGCCATTATTAATACCATTATCATATTTCTTTCATTTTTATTTTATTTGCTTTTTGTTGCATCTACAATGACCACCATTCTATATTCAATCATAAGTAATATTATCTTGAATTTTATTATTAGATGAAGTGTTTTCAGCCATTATTAATGTTTTGGTCATATTTCTTTCATTTTAATTTCAGTTGCTTTTCATTGCAATCTTCAAACAGACCACCATTCTATATTCAATCATAGTAATATTATCTTGAATTTTATTATTAGATGATTTGTTGTCAATAATTATTAATGTTTCAATCATATTTCTTTCATTTTTTTTCAGTTGCTTTTCATTGCATCTACTCAGACCACCATTCTATATTCAATCATAGTAATATTATCTTGAATTTCATTATTTGATGACACACTGTCAACAATTTTTAACTTTTTACTAGTTTTTCTTTCATCTTAATTTCATTTTCCCTTTCAAAATCCCATTTTTCATGAGATATGATCTAAAAGTTTGTTGGATTACCACCTCCTGAGAATAGTCACAAGTGGCACAATATTTGAAAATCTCTTCCTCTTCTCTTTGACTTGTAGAGCAGCAAATCATGTTTCCTTTCACTCTTATAGATATGGGGGCATGTATGTATTTCAGCAACACAGACTGAAGATTGTATTGAACTGTTCAGAACTTCAACTTCACTTCTTTCTTTATCCTTCTGTAACATGTCTTGTTAATACATTTATTAATTGTTGTTTGTTTGAATTTCATGTTTTGTGTTCTTTTTTTTACTTGTACTCACCTGAGTCTACCAAATATTGTTTGCTGGACAAATTTATGCAGAGGCATGAAATAATAATACTTCCCATTCCCACAATAAGTTTGCTTTTTAGGCTTCAAGTAAGAGACATAGCTGTAGCGATAGGGGTTACCATTGTTGTTTATTTCTGACGGGATCACTAAATATGTAGTGGTTGTATTACCATTGTTGTCGTGAACATCGAAGGACGAATGTCACGGTCATCATTATTGTAGTGATTGAGTTATCAATATTTAACTTTGGTTAGGAAAGGTGAGATTAAGGACAATGCGTAAATGCAATGCAATTTATATTTGACGTAAATAGCACATAGTATAAAATACAAAACTGAACGGAATGATTTCAAAACAGTTGAATTTATTAATGTTTGATGTACATGCATGTGAACTGAAAAGGTAGGACAGAGTCGTGTCCCTTTGATTAGGTATTAGTTGTACCTGAGTTCATATTAAAAGGAAGTAATATTAAACTGTAATTTAGAAGAATAAAGTTTGGAATTGTGAGTTGTAAAAGTGGTAAAAAGTTCAGAAGTGATTTCAGAGTTTTGAATGTTGTTGTAATTATCTTTAACGTCTGGTCACGCAATGGCTAAGACAGGAGTTCTTGAAGGTTACATCTTGGCACTTGGTAGCAAGGAATTGAGAGACGTGAGAAGAGATGAATGAAAAAAAACTAAAGGGAGAGTTTATACGTTTTAATTTTATAATAATGGTTGTTTTGGCTCCCAGCATATGAGCGGGAAAAACAGATTGGTTGCGTGCAGGCGGTTTGATTGGTCAGAACTGACCAATCAACAAGCTTGATTGGAGGTGATTGACCAATGAATACTTGTTATATTTGTATGAAAGTAGGGTGTTACTTACCAGATAGGAAGAGTGCATTTCCTAAAAAGAGGTAAGGCTGGTTTGTTGTGGAAGATCCCACATAGCAATTTACACCTGGCCATAGAAGGTCCAATGTATATAGCAATGTCATACCCACCTAAGTAAATATATCTTCCAGTTTCATCTTTCTCCACAATTTTACTAAAAACTCTTTCTAAGTCCTTTCATAAAATTTAATGTTTTTCAAAATCAAACCTTGTTCAATTTCATTGATTGGGAAAATGGTTAATAATCCTAGAAAAAAATATAAAGATCAAATATTGACTTAAAAGCAAAAGGCATGGAAGTTAAAAGTTTGCATGTTTGTGTGTATTTTAGCTGGGTGCCTCTTTACATCTAATAAACAAAGAAGAAGCATAAAAAAAACTTGGTTTTCTAAACTTTACTTTTTAACAAAAGTTAGGATGACTCTTTTTTTGAGAATTGATAGAATTAATTATTTTCTCATTTGAGTCAACTGTCTCATATATCCATATGCTAGTGAAACAAAGAGATCCTTTTCAAAACTGTCACTTCCCTACACGCAAGCCACCAATCTGCCACTGAGTGACATGCCACTAGCAAAAAATGGTGGCCTCAAGTGCTTTACACTGCCAACATTTTCGTCTCAAAAATATTAAAAAAAATACTGGTTTAAATCAAGGATATTGTAATTGGTTATAAAAGTTTGTTTTGCCACCAGAGAACTACGCTATAATGTTCATATTCTTGTTGAAATCATTTCTGATTGGTTTGTCAAAAAATGACCTCATACACCTAACAATTCTGAATATTCATCTATTTTTGGAGATGGTGAAATATTTGTTTCCTTGTCACTATTTGTTCATTTTTTTTACCACTACACTTTCAAAACTAAAGAGTCTCATGATAAAACTGAAGTGCACGAAATGAAGACACTATCAATATTTTCTGATTGGTTTTTGACAAAAATCCAATCTATTCTTTTGCAAGAGGAGAAAATAAGCTAAATAACAATTTCCAGAACACGATAAACTCCTAAACAAAACATTAAGTGCTCATTTCTAAACACAAAAACTAATTACTTTTGTATGACCTACAAACATATCATGCTCAAAATAACTAAATACAATCCCATAACCTAATTCGAATAAACTTTATTACAAATAACAAAACATAGAAAAAAGAAAAACACGCAAAAGAAAAATATAAAAAAAAATAAACAAATGAATAGCATAATGAATAAATTAAATAATTTATTACAGTGACTAGTCCACCCTGACCCGGGGTGGTAGCACCTGTTAGGGTCCCAGCTATGGGCAAATAGTGAACCCCCAAACAAAAACAAAACACTATGAAAGTATAAAAATACATTTTTAAAGTAAAAGTACCAGCAATAAATATTTATAGTACAATTACCAACAATACATATTTAAAGCAAAATGACTAGCAGTATCTTTTATACCAGCAATACATTTTATCTGTAGTTGATGCATAGAATTGCATTCAAAATATACTTAGGTTGAAGCCATAAAATTGCATTCAAAATATTTAGATTTCAGCATTAAATAACCCATAGAGATTGATATTCTGCCAAACAAAATCAAACAAGCATGAAGGAACTCTTTCATGACATTAATCCATATAATACCCTAAACCATTAATCCATATAATAATACAATAATATTTTTAATTTCCAAAATAATATCCTATAATTTCAAAATCAAACCAAAACTGTATTCCAAAATATAACTTCAACAAAACATTTTAAAAAATATTTTAAAATTACCATATTCAAAAAAAAATTTTTCATATCAAAAAGAATTTCTAGTCATTATTTCCAATTTTAACATCTATATGGATTTTAAAATTGTTTAGAATAAATTTTTTAAAATGTATTCAACTGTGAAAATTCATAACAAAACTGGAATTTAAAAAATTTTGCCTCTAATAGAAAACATTATCCATGCAATGATTAGTCATTATGTTCCACCAAACATTGTAATATTTTTAAAAAACTACAATTATTTTTCTGCCTTAGTCATTTTAATTATCTATATGCATAAAATCTGAATTTTATTTACCATGTATTCAATGTGAAAGCAGAATAACAAAACATCATTTCAAAAAAACACATATATCATTAAATCTAAATTATGTCCATAAATCAAACATTCATATGCACAAAAACTGATTATCATTTAATATGTATTCAACTGTTTTAGCAGAATAATAAAACTACAATATTCAAAACACACATAATCACATGCCAATAAAAAAAGTCATTATTTCCATGTTTAAACATCTATATGCACAAAAGCTAGAGTATCATTTACCATGTATTCAACTGTTTAAGCAGAATAACAAAACTACAATATTTCTAACATATATCACTGCCTCTAGTAATTATGTCCACCCAAACATCTATATGCACAAAAAAGTATCATTTACCATGTATTCAACTGTGAAAGCAGAATAACAAAACTACAATAAAAAACACACATATCACTGCCTCTAGTAATTATGTCCACCCAAACATCTATATGCACAAAAGTAGAGTATCATTTATCATGTATTCAACTGTTTAAAATTACAAAAACATTGTTTTTTTTCAAAACAGAATTTAACAAAACTAGTAATTATATCACAAATATGCACATATCACTTTTAAAAGTTATTTTCACTTAAAGTATTTATGTAAAAATAAATTCTTCAAAATCTATTTATGTCACAAAAAACATGTATATGCAAAAAGCTGAGTATCATCTTGAAATTTTTTTCAACTGTGAAAGCAGAATAACAAAACTACAATAGAAAACACATATATCATCTGCCTCTAGTCATTATGTCCACCCAAAATCTATATGCACAAAAAGTATGAGTATCATTTACCATGTATTCAACTGTGAAAAGCAGAATAACAAAACTACAATAAAAAACACATATATCACTGCCTCTAGTCATTATGTCCACAAAACATGTATATGCACAAAAGCTGAGTATCATCTACCATGTATTCAATTGTGAAAAGAATAACAAAACAATAAAACACATAATCACACCTCTATCATTATGTCCTTCAACATGTATATGCACAAAAGCTGAGTATCATCTACCATGTATTCAACTGTGAAAGTAGAATAACAAATATCATACAAAAACATATATAATATCTAGTATTTATGTCCACAAAACATGTATATGCAAAAAAAGAATCATTACCATGTATTCAACTGTGAAAGCAGAAAAAAAAAATAAATATAAAAAACACATATCACTGCCTCTAGTAATTATGTCCACCCAAACATCTATATGCACAAAAGCTGAGTATCATTTACCATGTATTCAACTGTGAAAGCAAGAATAACAAAACTACAATAAAAACACACATATCACTGCCTCTAGTAATTATGTCCACACAAACATGTATATGCACAAAAAAGCTGAGTATCATTTACCATGTATTCAACTGTGAAAGCAGAATAACAAAACTACAATAAAAACACACATATCACTGCCTCTAGTAATTATGTCCACAGAAACATGTATATGCAAAAGCAAAAGCTGAGTATCATTTACCATGTATTCAACTGTGAAAGCAGAATAACAAAACTACAATTCTTAATTCCATAAAACACACATATCACTGCCTCTAGTAATTATGTCCAACAAATAAAACATGTATATGCACAAAAAGTAGCTGAGTATCATTTACCATGTATTCAACTGTGAAAGCAGAATAACAAAACTACAATATAAAACACATATATCACTGCCTCTAGTAATTATGTCCACAAAACATGTATATGCACAAAAGCTGAGTATCATTTACCATGTATTCAACTGTGAAAGCAGAATAACAAAACTACAATATAAAACACACATATCACTGCCTCTAGTAATTATGTCCACACAAACATGTATATGCACAAAAGCTGAGTATCATTTACCATGTATTCAACTGTGAAAGCAGAATAACAAAACTACAATATAAAACACACATATCACTGCCTCTAGTAATTATGTCCACCCAAACATGTATATGCACAAAAGCTGAGTATCATCTACCATGTATTCAACTGTGAAAGCAGAATAACAAAACTACAATATAAAACACACATATCACTGCCTCTAGTAATTATGTCCACAAAACATGTATATGCACAAAAGCTGAGTATCATCTACCATGTATTCAATGTGAAAGCAGAATAACAAAACTACAATAATAAAAACATTATGTCCATATCATATGCCTCTAGTATCATTATGTCCACAGCAAAAAAAAATGTATATGCACAAAAATATCACCAGTATCATTTGTCCATGTATTCAATATGCAAAAAGCTGTGAAAGCAGAATAACAAAACTACAATATAAAACACACATATCACTGCCTCTAGTAATTATGTCCACACAAACATGTATATGCACAAAAGCTGAGTATCATTTACCATGTATTCAACTGTGAAAGCAGAATAACAAAACTACAATATAAAACACACATATCACTGCCTCTAGTAATTATGTCCACACAAACATGTATATGCACAAAAGCTGAGTATCATTTACCATGTATTCAACTGTGAAAGCAGAATAACAAAACTACAATAAAAACACACATATCACTGCCTCTAGTAATTATGTCCACAAAAACATGTATATGCACAAAAGCTGAGTATCATCTACCATGTATTCAACTGTGAAAGCAGAATAACAAAACTACAATAAAAACACACATATCACTGCCTCTAGTAATTATGTCCACAGAAACATGTATATGCACAAAAGCTGAGTATCATCTACCATGTATTCAACTGTGAAAGCAGAATAACAAAACTACAATAAAAAACACACATATCACTGCCTCTAGTCATTATGTCCACCCAAACATCTATATGCACAAAAGCTGAGTATCATCTACCATGTATTCAACTGTGAAAGCAGAATAACAAAACTACAATAAAAAACACACATATCACTGCCTCTAGTCATTATGTCCACAAAACATCTATATGCACAAAAGCTGAGTATCATTTTATGTCACCATGTATTCAACTGTGAAAGCAGAATAACAAAAATATACAATATAAAACACACATATCACTGCCTCTAGTAATTATGTCCACATTTACATGTATATGCACAAAAGCTGAGTATCATCTACCATGTATTCAACTGTGAAAATTAAGAAT